ACGTGAAGTGGCAATCTGTATCTCAATGTCCAATAGAATTTTACGATTTTATTCTCTAATGCGACTTCCTGTTATTGCATACCCCTACCTGTGTACTAGTTGTTTGCACAATTACATTACTCGTCACGCCTTCTCGGGTTAACGTTTTCAGCTGACAAGAAATAGAAAGATTATATTGAATCAATTGCTATGTCTACTGCTAGGAAAACTTGTTCACTGTGTCATGCTACACTATTTTTCTCGTCAGAATCTATCTTACACATTTACAAGTGTACCATTTGTCCATGCATTGAATATTGTTGTCACAAGTGATCTGGTGTTTCTGCTATATATTTAGAGATTCTTGACGAATTATAAAAAAGAAACTGCAATGTTATCGGTTCTGACCTGGCATCTCGGCGCCAGTCATTTCCCAGCGGCGTAATTTAGTTTCCTTGTTCTTTTTCTATTTTCATGTTAATTATTATAGACTTTACGTATTTAATCGCAGCGCTAGATTGGTAGCTAGGTCTAATTATTTTGCAGTTGAAAATGCTAAAGATAAACGTAAGTTCTATGGTAACAGTTTCTTCTCTCGCACTTCTGACTTGTGGAACCCAGTTCCAGCTTCTTAGTTTCCAGTCAACTTTGATCTTGAATTTCAACTCCCCTTTTGCCCATATTGTTTCACATTCAGTAACCCCCTTGTGTCTTAGTGGCTTTATTGCCATGCTTCCCACCCAGTCAGATTATTACTGTTGTGTTTTGCCTTATAGTACGAGTTGCCAGGAAGTCTCAAACAAAGACTTCAAGAGAAATGTTTCGTATCAGAAGACGCAAACAGTTGAAGTGCCATGAAATCAGAGAGAAAATAATGTAATTGTGATGTATTGTTGGTAATGTGGCGAACGCGCGTCAGTACAGACGCAAAAGAGGCCCCGGATCGCATGCGGTCATGTCTGTCAAAACCAGTTACAAATGGGTTTTCCCCGTTTGCCGCGGGACAACTTGGCATGTTCAGATACGGGCCTCTCCGCAACTTATCTAGAGCAGTGCTTCTGCCAGTTGCAACAACTTTAGGAACAAAATGCCCATGCCTTCTGAGGCAGTGTCATTTTGTTACCTCTTGTCTTATTTTCTTTCTCTGCCTATTACCCCTGTAGTAGCTGTGAGAGCAATCGTTTAGGTGTTCCCCACCCTAACCTCAATACACCTTTGCTGTAGTTTGCAACAGGTAATTTATTTATTATTTTACTATGAAAATGTATTGCTGGTAACTTTTTCTAATGTATTTTTATATTTTCATATTTTGAACCCAGTTTGGAGGGTTCACTACAGCAAATAGGGACACTAACAAGTGCTACCACCCCGGAAACCTTACTAGTTTGGTATTCCGTCTACTTCATTAATTCCTAAGTAATTGTATCATTTTGGTCTAGTTCCTTAATCTTGTTGATGATATCAAGGTCTAAAGCTGTAGTTTTCGTTAGTTTACTGTCTTTGAATATTGATTACTTGTGCAGAAAATATAGTCAGTGCAATCATTTTAGCTAATGATAATTGACAATGTTTCATCTAAGAAATTCAATCGTCCTGGGTATGAGGATTAATTGCATCCGGCACGAAGGCATCTAATCGGGAGGTTTTAAGGGACATGAAGCCACATCTTAATTGCTGTTGTTCCCACGTTCACCCTGATTTTGTAATATGAATACCAGCAATACATTTTTTTATAGTACAATATATATATATATATATATATATATATATATATATATATATATATATATATATATATATCCGCAGTACATTTCTGGAAGAGGAATTACCAGTAGTACATTTTTGAAAAAATTTGCCAAAGCTCCCAAGAAAATTAAATGACCCATAAGAAGTATGTATGCTGTTAAACCAAACCAAACCAAACTAAGAAATTCGAATATTACGATGGCGTGATGAATGTTTTTATGTCCAACAAAGACGCCCTCCTAAAAAAAAAAAAAAACCTCGAATGTTTGGTCATTTGGTAAGATTTTGTGAAATGGGTCGGACTGAGAACATTTCAACACTCCTTCGTTTTCCACCTACACTTTATTTTCACCCACAACTAAATATGGTTCATATTTCTGTCGATAATATCCAAAATGTTCGGCTGTATTGGGAAAGTATTAAATATAAAATTATTTATGGAAGAAAGGTTAATTGTTTCCTGTAATTGTTAATAAAATCAGTTGATGTCATGTAACATTCCTATGCAATCGTCTCGTCAAAACGCGGGAAAGTATGCTAATAGCGAAAGAATGGGTGGAATATAGAGCTTATAATTACTCCATAGCTATGCGTCCCAATTACTGGTTAGTTTTCTTTATGTCACTGTGTTCCGAATGGAAAGTCTTTTGCTGGAAAAATCGGGCAAACACAAAATGGCGAACTCAAAATTTAGAAAAACTAGTGTGAAAATACTCCTGTACAGTGGAATTTTAACATAGTTTCAGAGAAACACTTAAATAACAAATCATGGATTTGATCCATGTATCTTTCAAATGATAACTTAATTGAAAGTTACCACCATCACGAAGTCTTGGAACATGGTTAATGAAAATATGCGAGTGGATTTAGCAAATGATTTCCAGTTAGTACATTTGAAATGGGTGGGTCTATATTTTTTCTTACTGAATTGCAGCCGTAAGCACAAATATAAGACTGGACTATTATGAGTTAATGATGTTTCACCGTCTATGATCCCAGTTTTCATAGCTCATCCTACAGCTGTAAAATCTACAAGATATTTTTAGTTTTCATTTTCCGGTGACTGACAAGCTCTGTGAAAAAAAAAATAATGGAAGGAACATTGTAACTTTGACTCTGGCTAGAAAGTTGACTTTAATGTTCTTAAACTGAATTATAACAAGGATTTACAAATTAATAAATGTCATCAAGTTGTTAACGAACATATTGATCAAGGACAAAATTGTCCAGCTATTGTCATGCTGGCATTGTCAGCGAGTAATCCTCTCTTTTTCTTGCAATAATAGAGCTGCCGCCGCAGATTTGTAATCGCCGAGTCTAGACTCCCCTCATTACAAAGGCAGAAACACGGCAGAGAAGAGAAGAGATACTAAGAAAAACCTTCAGGCCTGGTTAAGGGGCATTTTTCTAGGGTTATTCTCATTCTACACAGACTTGTCGATCTATACCTAAATAATCAGCTTCTTTGTTGTTTTGTTTTTTTTTGTTTTTTTGTTGTTGTTTCGTTTTGTTTTTTTGTTTGTTTTGTTTTTTCACAGCTGCTATATTAGTAAAATAAAATAATAATAATAATAATAATAATAATAATAATAATAATAATAAAAACAGTGAAAAACGCTTCAGACATAAGGATAAATAAATTGGTTGTTTTGTTTTATGGCAAGTCAAAACTCAGTGGGTCATTTTGAAATAGATTCATAGAGATTTTATTGCTGGTAATATGTTTTTCTTCAAAAATCTATTTCTGGGAATATTTTTCTCTTGAAGAAATCTATAGCTGGTCATACTTTTTTCAAAGAATCTATAGCTGTTTGTATTACTGGTATTTTTAAGTATTGTTGATATTAATTTTTCCTTAAAAAATTATTGCAGGTAATAATTTTTTATTGCAAAGTATTTCTGGTATTAAAACCTATTTTTACACAAGTTTGGGTGTTAACTATTTGCTCATAGCTGGGACCCTAACAGGTGCTACCACCCCGGGTCAGGGTGGGCCTGGGAACAGCAGCAATTAAGAGATGGTTCCACACTCCTCAAAACCTCCTAATCAGAGGCCTTGTTGTTGGACGTTGTTTATCGTCTTACCCAGGACGGTGGATTAATAAGTATTTACTTCTAATTACTTATATAATCAATAACAGAAAAACAAATGCTATGTATATTGTCAGTAATGACAGAATCGTGTTTGAAATGTTTTATGAATAGACATTCAGCGCGTCGGATAGCGTAATGGTTACCGGCGTAGAAAATAAAATCATAGAGCCGAGTTCAAACTGAACTAAAAGTATTGCGTTCACGTCCCTCATTTTTTTTTTTTTTTTTTGCAGGACAGACTGAGAAAGACGACTGCAGCACAATGTCCGTCCTTTGTTGCAAATACGACGCAGTATATAATTTTGGAGCTCGGATGAGAAGTTTTTCCAAATACGGCTAATTCTCCAAGGCTATCACCATTTGACAATCAGCTGATGCGCTTAATACAACCGTTCATGTATTGTCAACAATTTACAGGCATCATCAAAACATTCATTGAATCAAAAATAAAATTGTTGTTTTAATGATGGAATATTCAATTGTCCTGAACTTTTCAAAATTATTTTGCAATAGTCTACTCAATTTTGTTGTGTGTTGTCGAAATTGTTTCATGATGAAGCATTCATTTTAGCTGAATGTTGCCGAAATTGTTGTTTTATAATGAAATACTTATTTTTGATGAATGTCGTAGAAATTGTTTTCTGGTGTTATATTCAGTTTTGTTAAATGTTTTCGAAATTATTATTTTATGGTGGAATACTTACATTTGCGATATGTTTTCTAAAATGTTGTTGAATACTCGGTTTTGCTAAATGTTTTCGAAATCGTTCTTTTATGATGGAATACACACTTTTCCTGAAATCGCATAGAAAATCAAGTAAAATACTTTAATGACTGAACAGTATATGATACGAATGAACTAAAAATCTTTGTATCCTCTTAATATTTTAGATTGGCGAATAGCCTCGAAAATTTGTCATTGGTTTTGCAATTACAAATGAACGCACTCCTTGCAAAAATTATTCATTTTACAGAATGTATTCTATCTCTTATCTTTTTTGTTGTTGTTTTTTTTTTGTTTTTTTTTTTACATATGTTATAATCATGCTCTTGACCTATATAGCTGAATTATGAAGAGACGCAAAAAACAAAATAAGAAATGGTTTTTATTCTTTGATCTAAATTCCTACTTTCCTTGATCAAGAACATTATGTCCTCTTGATATTACCTTTCTAAGTTCAATGAAAAGGAGCGAACAGATCAGTAGTTATAAGGCTCCATACTTTTTGATGTGGCTGAGGTTGCCTGTCCTAAATCAGGGTGAGACTGTAACCACTGTGCCTGGTAAGATGCTAGATAATAAGAACCTTTCCTTTATTAAATGAGATACAACTCAATCTCCATATGAGAAATATAAACTAAACAGTTTGTTTAACCGATGGTGGGTAAACATCTCTCAACCACATCAAATAGGTGTGAATACCAATCACGTCTTATTTATTTGCTTTTGGCTTGTTAGCTAAACATCAAAAGAGGCGGCTAAGAGTTCGTCGTCCAAATAATTCTCCCCACCACCGCCGCCTTCTATAACAGTTTGGCGAATGGAAAAGTGTGCAGTTCATAACAACGTTGCAAAGGGGGGCGGCTTTCGGCATAAGCCCATCTTGATGCTCGAAGATCCGGTTAAGCGTCTAGGAGAGGACGATAAATAAAGTCTTTCATTCTTAGAAATATGTCACTTTTTATTACTACTTCCGGAATTGCGTATTCAAATCAATAACAATCGTCATCTGGAGGATAAGTGACAACAAGTCTCCTTGCTGCAAAAACACTTCCTGCAGTATTCTCGCTGTTTAATGAAGAGCTGTTGCTTGGATAGTCTTGAGATTTCCTTGGATTTAGAATTCCTCCAGCTTTTATGTTAAGCATTTAAGGATCTTTTTCAGCTCGCCAAAAACGGTGGGCACAGTTATTAAAATATTATTTACTAGTTTATGTCAACTTATAGGTGATACAACAACTTATTTAAATTTTTTTACATTAAAAAGAAGAAATTATCACCTGGTTCTCTTTCTCTCTCTCCGTCCCCTCCACTCTCTCTCTCTCTTACTCTCTCTCTCAGCCCCCCCTCCTCTCTCGCTCTCTCTCTCCGTCCCCTCCACTCTCTCTCTGTCCGTCCCCTCCTCTCTCTCTCCGTCCCTCTCTCTCTCTCCGTCCCTCCTCTCTCTTTCTCTCTCTCTCCGTCCCCCCTCTCTCTCGTCCCTCTCTCTCTTTCTCTCTCCGTCTCTCCCGTCCCCACTCTCTCTCTCCCCGTCCCCCTCCTCTCTCTCTCTCTCTCCCCGTCCCCTCCACTCTCTCTCTCCGTTTCCTCTACTTTCTCTCTCACTTTCTCTCTCCGTCCCCCTCCACTCTCTTTCTCCGGCCCCTCCACTCTTTTCTCTCTCTCTCTCTCTCTCTCTCACACACACACACACACTCTTTCTGTATCACTCTATGAATTGTTACTCAATCACTCATATACAGGCCGATGTACATAGTACACACTGTTTAAAATAAAAATAAAACGGGCGTCTTTTTCAAATACAGGTATAAAAAAATAACGTTTGAAGTAATACATATAAAAGGTGCGATGGGAAAACTGTCACCTATTTTATATTATTACTTTCGCGCATGCGCGTAGTTTGTTTTTGATTTTGTCGACTGTACAGTATGGTAGGGTCAGTTGGACACCCTCTGTGATAAAAAGAGCACTATGACGCAATTTACTCCGCCAGAAATTTGGAAACGGTATTCTCACCGGAAACTGCAATACGAGTGTGTGGGTATCAATCTGTGCAGTGCAGAAGATTCGGAAAGAGTTGGATGAGTTTAATGGTGATTACGAAGGTACGGCAGCTCAGAAAACTTACTCTGATCGTTCTGATCAGAAAAGAACTGCCGAATTTGTTGGCGAAGGCCTCAGTTTCAACCCGGAGGCCTACTTCAAGTGCCTTGAGGAGGTAGTGCTGCCCTGGGTCAAGAGGGTTGCTGTTGAAAGATCCTATGTCTGGCAACAGGTCTGTCTGTGCACCATGCCACACAAACAGTGGGAGCATGCAGTAGCTTGCAAGGGCGCATTGAAGCCATCCTTTAGACTGTTCTATTTAGTTCTATTGAATAACATTTTCGCCTTAGAGTGCCGGACTGCTATGTAATGTCAATCCTCCTATATAGTAGTGAATGCTGAACAGTTACCTCGGGAGAATACTTGAAGCAACAGAAATTCGGAGAATACAGGCTGAATATGTGTTTAACGACGGAATTTTTATGAAAATGGAAGCAAAAAGTACACTCATATTTTGATTCAGTTGAAATTTCTAGGAAGCAAAATCAGGAAAAAGGCATGGGAATTTTTACACTCTTTCATATAGGAATGAAGTGTCGCTGTCGACATTTGAGTTTGAACATAGATCGCCAGTGAACAACTGCAGGCGATCTCATTACTGAATTAAGTAGACCACGTGACCATAGAGGAAACGCATACATAGAGGAAGTCACGTGACGTCTGGATGTTCGCTATCTCTAGTCTATCCTCTATACTATATGGATCACCGTTTCTTCTCTATCTTCTATTGTTATTGAGACCGCTATTTTCTACTCTATTCACTATACGAAGTATTATTAGTACAAGTACTATTCGAAGGCGTCTGACACCAGTATTGTTCAACAGCGTACTATAGTTGTATCTGCGATTTCAAAGTCTCTACTACAATGACCATTGCAAGTGTGATAACGAGTAGATATTGGCATCAGAAAAGTGGCAACAGTCGTACGTTTGAGATTACAGAACACTCACAGGACATATTGAACGCCAGAGGGGCAGTAGGAAACTAATTAACAAGATTGTTTAAATATATAGATGAACAGAGATGGGGGGGGTAAGCAAACGAGAAAGTTGTGGAGAGCTATGATCGCCTACTTTCTGAAGGGATACTGCACATAGAAGACGATGTGATTTTTTCCTATTGGTTATATTTATTTTTCTTTATATTATAATTTGTTGACAATTATTTGGCGCCTCCTGGATGTTAAGAAATGCTGAACAATAGCGGTCCCTATAATATATATATATATATATATATATATATATATATATATATATATATATATATATATATATATATATATATATATATATATATATATATATATATATATATATATATATATATATATATATATATATATATATATATATATATATTGACCACTGATATTATATCTATATCTATATATATATTTAACGTTCTTTTTTTATAGATACAAGTACTTAAGTAAATGCTCTGTTTATAATAAACAGTATTAAATAACATTTACCGGCCTGAATGTCCTTCGTGGCCGAGCGGTCAAGGCACGTCAGCGTAAATGACGGTTGCGTATAGGATGCAGGTTCGAATCCTGTCAAAGGACGAATATTTTCTATGAAAATTTCTCGGACATTCAGGCCGGTAAATGTTATTCAATACTGTTTATTATAAACAGAGCATTTACTTAAATACTTGTATCTATATAAAAAAAGAACGTTAAACATAAAAAATATCTTAATATATATAAAATATATATATATATATATATATATATATATATATATATATATATATATATGGAAATTGTACATAGAATAAGATGCGCAACACAGCAAATTGCTACAAAACTAAAACATTTAACCTGTAAACTCAAGCCATGATATTAAATAACCTCGTCAGAGCGAGACTTTCATATGGATGTCGTGCATGCCACCAAACTTGTTCCGAATTATCTAAACGATCAGCTCTGTACAGCCGCTTTACAAGATCAGTGGTTAAAATGGCTTCCCGTTAGTTTCATCCTTGATCAAGCGGGTCATTGTGAAAAGGTCACTTCATGATAAAATTCCACGAGTTTAGATGATGCAATGTCGGATGGAGAGATTCGGTTCTATACCAATGGCATAGTGAATAAGAATGATCTTAAACCAAAAAAATCAACATCCTCTACCGAAGTGTTCCAAGTAACAGGACATATAAACTTTTCCAAAACAGCAACAATGATCAAGAATTGGAACGAAAGCAGTGATGTCACCAACGCTGAATCCATCATAAAAAATTTAGTATGTGGAATTAGTAAATGCCAAACATTTCAAATATCTCAATATCTGGATTAGTTATAACTAATTTATGGTGGACTCTCCGGTCGTATTCGACGTATGAAGGTCAGCAGCTCAGTGCCTAGGTACCGACAGTTCAGACACCAGCACATATGATTGATTATAGCGATGAAGGCATTTTGCAGAACCAACAACACTTTTTAAAGGGCCGAATGCAGAGACCTGATGCACTACGTGCCACAAGGTCCCCAAACGACCCTCCTCAGGTTTTGAATTCGTCCTTCTCTCCTAGACCAGTTGCCATCCAAGCATATATATATATATATATATATATATATATATATATATATATCGCTCACACACTAATATTTCATGTTTATAATTAATTACATTGGAATTACGATCCCAATGTAATAATCATGGAATATTAGTGTTTGAGCCTTTTATATATTCTTACTCTGTCCTGGACATTGAGTTCTACCTGGATTCTATCCTCTTTAAAATTTATATATATATATATATATATATATATATATATATATATATATATATATATATTGACCACTGATATTATTATTTAATATATATATATATATATATATATATATATAATATATATATTGACATATATATATATATATATATATATATATATTATATATATATATATATATATATATATATATATATATATATATATATATATATATATATATATATATATATATATATACATAAACTGAACATAGAATAAGATGCGCCGGAGATAGTTTAGTCCAAGATAGCAAACTGCTACAAAACTAAAACATTTTACCTGAAAATTCAAGCCATGATATTAAATAACCTCCTCAGATCAAGACTTTCATATGGATGTCGTGCATGCCACCAAACTTGTTCCGAATTATCTAAACGATCAGCTCTGTACAGCCGCTTTATAAGATCAGTGGTTAAAATGGCATCCGGTTCGTACATCTTTGTTTGAAAATTGTGAACTGGCGCTATAGAAATACAAATAACGTTAACAAATAACAGGAAGCACGCTACTGGAGGACTTTCGACAGCAGCAACAACCAAAATGGATAGCAAATGTAAATATGAGAGAAGATATATGCTAAAGACGTTACCGTTCCATACCACTTCAAATAAAAGATTATAATGAAAACCCCATTAATACCGGAAAGAGCGATAACATTTACTGGACTTGAGAAACCTATTTTCTTGAAAAATTGTTTCAAGAGAAAGACTATAAATTTTAACCGACAGCCGTACTGGCTTCTCGGTCAATGAATGTCGAATGTTTCCTTACAAGGAAACGGCTAATATTACCATTACCACTGCCATATGCATATTGTCATCACGTTCGATTACTTCCATTTTATAAATTAATTTAATGATTAGTTTACAAATGAGCGAGTGATGTAACGAATTGTCCTGGTTATGACGATAAACTACATCCGGCATAAAATGACCCATAAGGAATTGATATGCCATTAAACAAACAAATCAATAATAAATAATTATCGGCGCAGAGAGTGATATCGGCGAATCGAGTTCAAATTCTGAGCTAGTCTGCTGCATTCATTTTCGCACAAATGATCTTGGGAAAGGCATGAATCCATTTCTTCCCCCTTTGCTGTAGGTTAAATAGCAGGGTAGACTGGAATATCTGTCCATGGGTATCAGCCTTTCTAAAAGAAAGCAAACTCTGTTCCAGAGGAGAAGATAGTGGGAAACTACTCCATTATCTTTCCCAATAAGTTATGACAATTCACCGATAACAAAGAAACGAAATGTATAGCCTGGCATGTTCATTTACATCCTAAAAGTATGACATTAAAAAAAAATTATAAATTCAATCTATGGGAGGCAACTCTTATTAAAGTTGACGATGTTACCTCCCTTGAAAAATGTTTTTTTTTTACTATGTATTTAATGTTTGTGGAAACTATTTATTTTAAAGTTCATCCATTTATATATTAATCTGGTTAATTACTTACCAAATTGAATGCAATATAATAATTTAAGTAACACCAGTTTAAAAAGACACAAATTATACCTACTAATTATAATTTATTTCTCATTTTTGTTGCTTTTTATCGCAACGCATAGGCCGTTCTTACATCCTACGCCCGTTAATGAGTATGGATAGAAAATAAACGAATAACTTTCCGACAAGATTTAAATTCGCACTCTGGAGAGCTTTTCTGATAGGGACAACACCTTACCGATTGAGCTACAGGGAACAGTCAACAGAATTCTTTTAAATTTAGTTACGTAGTTCTATTCTTTCTTAAGACAAAGGTGATTGTACCTACATGATTAAATTTGAATGACGATTACTGTTTGTCTTCTTAAAACGATTGTCGAAAGCG